GGCAGCACTATTTGTAGACTTCATAAGACCTGCTTAACAAAACGAATAGTTTAATGACAGATATATGAATATTGCGAGCATACTCTTAGTCTATACAACAAATACTTAACAGATGCTCAGAGCAGGCTCCCAATTTACACGTGAGCTCTCTTTGGTGAAAGCGGTACACTTAAGCCTAATATATTACTTTCAATGAAAAACATATATATATTTTTTTTTGATATTAAAAATTGTGCAATTGATAATCTCTATGTAAAAAACTGTTTATCCTGACTGTGACTGACGAACTGATTGGTGATTAACGCACAGCTGTAGTCACTATTTACCTTAGTGATGTAGGTTAAGACGGATGTAAAAAAAAAACGTTTGTATGAAACTCTTCTGTTTACCATCCGATCGGCCTCAAAGATCTTTGCTCAAATTCATTTAGGGGTGTTTCACACTTCTCAAAAAATGCATTCCCCTTTGGTGGAAATTTTGACCAGGAATAATGTTGATCTAGGGGTCAAACCATGAACAATTGTGCATCTAAATCTGGCAACAATATTTTTGGTCCAAATTCATGTATAAATGGTACCCTCAAATATCCTATATAGACATAGGTCAAAATTTCCCATCCCCATAACTCGGTCAAATCTCATCCGATTTCCACGAGGTTTGGCTCTTTGTTCATAGTTTGGCCTCTAGATCAATTGTGCATCTAAATCTGGCATCAATATTTTTGGTCCAAATTCATGTATAAATGGTACCCTCAAATATCCTATATAAACATAGGTCAAAATTTCCCATCCCCATAACTCGGTCAAATCTCATCCGATTTCCACGAGGTTTGGCTCTTTGTTCATAGCTTGGCCTCTAGATAAATTGTGCATCTAAATCTGGCAACAATATTTTTGGTCCAAAATCATGTATAAATGGTACCCTCAAATATCCTATATAGACATAGGTTGAAATTTCCCACCCCCATAACTCGGTCAAATCTCATCCGATTTCCACGAGGTTCGGCTCTTTGTTTATGGTTTGGCCTCTAGATCAATACGGCTACTTAATCTCGCAACATAATCAAAATAATTCAGGTCATTAACATTTAACAATTAGAGAATATACTCACACACAGCTGCTTTAAATTGCGTTACAAATAAATAAAAAAATAATAAAAAAAAAGCTTAAGTCTCCGACGGCTCTAGCTCATTACAGTTGATGTGACTTACTTATATAAATAAATTGAAAATGTACAATCAATAAAAAAGCTATCATTTTTTAATATTCACAAAATTGGAAATCGCCCTGCTTATAAATAAATGCCAGCTGCTTAATTATAACCAATTAATATTGTTCTTTGGAATTCTAATTTTACGTTTTTGGCAAATTTGTATTATATTGTTATGGAGTCGTGCTGTGATATGGGAAATTGTTGTTGGCCAAAAACTATTCAGGCACAAGTTGAAAAGCATTGAAAATTAGATGCCGATTATTTGGCTAGTTGCATATTACATATTATATGCTGTACCTTGTGTTGCTGCCAATGCAGTGCCAATGGCATTGAAGCCCTTCCCAACCGCCCCCGCCTCCCCTCCCCTTTATCTGCTGACAATTGCAGAGATGTCGACAAAACCACTAAACCACAACTACACGTAGCCGGCGGCTGTTGTTGTTGTCGCATTGTTGCTGATGATGCTGTTGTGCTAAGGTCATTGGCGGAAATTATAAAAATTGCGTGCCGCAAAAAATGGCAATAATAATAATCGTCTGAGGCGTGCAACAAGCCAGACTCAGCTTTTGAATGAATTCATATATATATATACAGATATGTAAACTCTGATAGCGCGCAGCTTATCGGCATCTTTGGCAGTTGGAAAGCTTGTGACCAGTGTTGCCAACTGTCGTTTCAAAAAAGTGAATGTAGTGTATGTAGCTTCAAAAAAGCTGAACTAATTTAGAAAGCGGTTGGATCCAGAGATGGGATCGGGGTGGGAATACGGTATGGATGAAACGGGAAAGGATATAAGTAATCCTGGATATACAAGCTTTTTGGATGAACCCGAAATTCCAGCAGGTCGCGATATATTTATTTTTCTATATGTTTATATTTATACGTATTTCTATCGTAAAATTCCTGCCGTATTCCCCGTCTTTTTCTTCAACAAAAATCATAACGTTTAGTACTTATTGTAGGTTTTTATCTGTATCAATGTATTTCAAACCGTTTAAACTTATACCTATTTCTGCATTTATTTATAAATATAAAGTAAAATTGAAAGAAGAGTTTGCACAGGCAGGATAAATTTGATGAAGTGCGAACTGGACGGGATTTAACTATCTTTCTCGTGTCTATCTCCTTTTCGGATACATAAAGGAAAAGAGCTTTCTCCTTTTGAGAATTTTTCTTTGAATCCTACCAATTAACGAGCTATTTTGGGCAATGCATCCAATATAATATTGCAATACGTCAATTAACACTGTGTTTCTGCTATTTTTGTAGACTAACTTACATAATTTATACGCCGAAAAAGTGTTAATTATTATATTGAATACCAAATATTTCACGAGATAGCTATAAAAAGTTAAAGTAGCTAAAAAAGCTGGCTTCCATCCGACAACATCTGAAGATAGCCAAATTTAGCTATAGCTTTAGCTGATTTGGCAACAACAATGCGCAAGACGAATCTCTTGGCATAATTTCCGCTTGTGCCAAATTGAACTATTTGTGCTGTAGTGGTCACATCTTGGAGATTGTGCGCTTATCGTCGCACAGCTGGCCGGAGTGCAGCCCGCCATTCCATCTGAGCCATTCCACTCGTAATGCCAAGTTGATTGTGGCTAACACACAGACACAAGTGACCATAATTCAGTTGGCAAATGTGTACACGTGTGCACGTTGTCGCAAACCCTGGACGCACCTCGGCATGTGCCGCATACTCAATCTGCGGACAGCAAGGCATTCATCTGCTTTTAGCAATTTGGTCGCCTGGAAATCATTCGTTTATTCATACAATTCCGGCGTAGGCCTTTGCCCCAAAATAGTATCACGTACGCTTTCAAACAATTATTGTCCTTGCACACGCACACACACACACACAGAGGAGAGAGTGTGAGAGAGAGAGAGAGAGAAAGAGTGGGAGGCATTTATTATGCAGGATGTCTTGAAATAAACTCAAATTTGATTTGAGTTGGCCTCGCAAACAAATTGAAGCTGACTTTAATCAGCTGCGACCGTTGCGTTTGTTTTTCCAGATTTATCAATATCTGGTTACGCTCTAAATCGCTTTGGCTTGGCTGTGTTTTAATGGCCACACAATTAAGACAAATCGCCATGCAAATGACCCAAATAAATTCGAATAGTTTTAGGCTGTGCAATGCTGTGCAATAAATAACAACACGCTTCGGGATGCCCCTGCCAGTTCAGCAAAGTTTCTAGACCAGTGCGCAGTTCAATAAAAATACAATTTATTATTTATGCAAGCCCACCAAAAGCTAAAAACAAAAAAAAAAAGAACAGTCATCGACTAACTACTGTGGCAAACAAGCCAAGCGTAAACCAATTGCAAACAGGTAAACTATGTATATTCGCAAATATTTACAGCTTGCAGCGTCACACGCGGCGTATGTGTGATGCAGTTGCTCGGTGTGTGCACAGCAGCCTGATGAGTCAGCCGCCGGTCACTAAAATGCTCGTAAAATGCGCTCGCTCGGTTCTATTTGGAGTTAAGCACGTAAACAAGTTCACTATTTATCGTTGCGGTGTGAAAATTTGCGCATGACTGGCCAGTGAAAGTTGCTAATTGTTGGCCTAATATGCAGTTTGCAGCATGTTGCAATGGCCCAAAAGCCACTTTATTGCCGCATATGCGGAAAAGAAAGTCACATTGTCGTTAGCCAGTCAATGGCCGCACCAACAATCTGCGCTACAGCAAACACATTAATCGGCCACGCAGCACGGCCAACTGGCAATCGTTAAACGCAAATCGTTAAATGTCAGCCGGGCAACGCCAGCTAATCAGCATGTCAGGCGCGCAGCCATGCGTGGTTATTTCTGTAGCTAAAGCAGTTTTTGATTATTTTATACCCATTGTAAATACGCAAAAAAGGGTATAATGCTTATGTCAACATGTGTGTAACAGGCAGAATGCGGCATCTGCAACCCAATATATTCCTGATCAGCAATAATATCGATCAAGCCATGTCCATCCCTTTTTCTGTCTATACGCAATTCTCGGAGACTTTATTTAATCGATAACTCATGCCATTTCTACGAAATCAACAAGTATCGGTTTTTAAATTTAGACTTTTGATCATATATCAGAGAACATTCAAGAGCAACATCCACCAATTTGCATACATAGGTCAGCGTACAGTATATCCAGAATATATCTCTTTAAAGATACCTACTTTCATTGCCACTAAAAATTTGAGGTATAGCCTTGCGTATATGGATATCAGGTACCTTTCTACTAAGTACAGGGTATATGCCAGCCGACTAGATCAGTCTTCTATTTGGTCACACTGTGAAACACCTCATGTCTAGGCTGCTCAGTCGAGTACACAGCGCGAAATGGTTGCGAATACGCAACAGCAGAGCCAACTACGCACGCGCAATGCTCAAGTATCTCATGGATACGTGTGCGAAACAGCTGAGATACGCTGAGCGCGGCAAGCAGCGCGAATCGCACTGCCGCCTGCCGTACCGCACCGCACCGCATTCGGTCCATAATAAACACGTTGGTAGCGGCGCCGAGACGGAGACGGGAGACCGAAACCCAAACCGAAACCGAAACTGAAATCGAAAACCCGCCAAGCGAGCAGCGAGAGAGACGCGGACGCAGCCCCGCCGCGCGCGCGCGCATTCGCTTCGTTGATATTGCCGGCTTTGGCGGGGCCCCAGACTTATTTGAGTATCTGTAAGAGGCTCTTGAGTACTCAGTTGCGAATTTCATACAAAACGAGACGGTCGCCTGTGCGTGTTCTGTGTGTGTGCGTTGTGGGATGGAATTTCGGCTCGCATCATCGCAAAGGCAGCGAGAATTTACGCATTTAAGCGGAAATTAGTCAAGTCAATAAAGTGAAGTTCTGTGAACAACACTAAGAACCCAATTAAATTAAAAACAAAACAAAAAAATCCCCCATAGATACTTTGTACAAACAGACGCCGAACATGATCGAGAGACGCAGTCAGCTGGATAAGGTAGGCAAGCGAATCTAACTTGGGCCGAAGCAAAGTGCTTACAATTAAAATTGTTCGGGCTAATTTTGTAATATAGTATAGCTAGTTGATTGATATTTTGCTACAGACCCTAACATTTTACAGTTGGCTAAGGTCAGGTTCAGGCTTAATTAAAAAAAAAATACTATGCACTTTACAAGTTTAGCGTCAATTATCGTAAGGCTAACCATTAAAATGCGAACTCAGAACCTTATGCAACAAAATGCAAACAAGTTTCTGATAACTCGCGGTCTTGATATACTATATTGTAGTACATTTGCAGGCACTGTACCTGTTAAGGTCTGAAAGTCTTGCCCAACGCTGAATTCCTTTAGATACAATTTGTTTAAGTTTCTTCTCAACTGATAAGCCGGTTTCCCGAAATGTGTACACAGTGAGATCATGTTGGCCAGAATAATGTTTCGTTTTGTACTAAACAGAATTTTTGTATCTATCCATCTGTAGTCGGATATCTATATGTATATATACATAAATGTGCTCGACGCTGGGCAAAATACAGTTTCAGTCTCAGAATGAAGTTCGAGTCATATTTTTATTTATTATATATACATATTTAAAAATGCGATAACTTTTGCTTTTGTTGGGCCAGCTCCTCTGCCAATCCTCTGCCAGCTCCCCTGCCAGCTCCTCTGCCAGGTGTTTCGCTGGAAGATGTTTGTAGAGCGCTTTGAAATTCGAATTAATGACGTGCTTGTCAGTTACGTAAGCGGGCGCAGGGGCCAAGCGAATGCTGATATGAATAATTAATGAGTATCAGCATTTTGCGAGTATATGATTAATTTTTCTATTCTTGTTAGCCTCACAGCCAGATGATACAAAGTAACTGGCCAACTATTTATACAGGCCCAAAGTTAATAATTATAAACATTTGCCGGCCGCAGCTCATTGATGATGCTCAAAAACATATTTAAATTCTGTGCTGCAGCTGTTTTTTATGACTGAATGTATATGCGTATATGTGTGGGTGTTTCTTATCTTTGGTCAGTTGATCGAAATTTATACAGATTTATTTAATCGCTATGTACTCGATTAACGAGCAGACGTCAGCACTGGCAATCATTTTGGACGCTGCTCATTCACTTGTCTCGGGCGACTGTGATCCGTGTCACGTAAGCGACTCTGTCGGAAGTGCACTCCACATAGGCAACAATTATTCCAAAGTCAGGCAACTTAACGTGAGCCATTCGAAATTAGCATGAGAGCCTGCTTGGCTGCCAGCCTGCCTGACTAGCTGCCCGACTAGCTGGTTGGCTGGTTGGCTGGTTGGGTATGCACGTGCCGAGCACCGACTGGAGTTTTCCACTTGTTGGCCCGAGCACTCGTCTTCGGATTGTTTGTCTAGTTTGTTGATTTTAAATGAGCACCAGGCGCACTTTGCACAATTAAGCTAATAGGAAATAATCAGAGTCCCATGTTCTTTAGGCTGTCATCCATCAGGCTGGGTAGTCAGTGTTAGGCAGAGACTTACATCCACATGCAATGACTAAGAGTGGCAGCAAATTAAGTGGAAACAAGCAAGTAAAAGTGCTCTAACCGGGTGTGTCCGACTAGAAGATATGCCTTTTAAGCATGGATTCACAAAGGAACTCATACCCATTCTTGCCTTAGCTCCACGCCATGTCAAATATAGTCCGAGTATTTACATTTTACGAAGCTTAAATATGCGCAAGCGTGCTCAGCCAAAGCTGAAAACTATACTCCAAATGCGGACTAAACTTATTTAATGTAAATCCAAATTTGGTGTGCCTGCCTCTTAAGGGCTGTGAGCTAAAAAAAAAAGCTTAACTAATCTAAAACAAATCGAATGTTGATCAAGAATATAAAAAATCTATTATGTATCTATGTGCTTTATGTGGTCAACTTAACCTCCTTCTATCTGTAACCATTATACCCTTCGTACCCATATTGATTGGGTATTTTGATAAAAAGCAAAATTACAAGTACTGAGTGCTGGCTACACTTTGGTATAATAAGCATAAGCCGCATCCAGCACAGATACTAGACAAAGTTCATTAACCAAGCGCAAAGCAATTAAACAAGTCACACAACTTTGGCAAGAGATGATTGACAGACAAGCTAACTTAATCCCATCGGTAGCTGGCCAACGGCTTTGATCAGATCTGAAGTTGATTTTATGAGCGCTCCCCAACAATGATTTGCTTCACATTCAGATTTTATTGACCGTCAGGCAGCTACTTGTCTTGGGTCTGTTATCAAAGTTGTAAACTTTTAAACACTGTAACTCAATACATTTATTTAAAACCCTGATCAAGAGTTTGTAAACTTTAATCATGTCTCAAGTTCAAGTCTTAACTCGAGGCAAACAGATGAAAGATCATATGGGTAATTGCTTGAATATCTTAAGAGTAAATAAAACAAAAGAATTTTGAAGTTTAAGTTTGACTATAAATAAAAAATTATTGTCAAAATATTACCATAAATTTTACGAAATTAAAAAAAAAAAAAGTCTGCAGTTCTTATTTATGGCATATTTTATTTAATGAGCTATTTATTTTAAAAAGATACATCATTCTTTTTTTCATCTGATTGTGCTTTAATGAGTCTTAACAACACTCTCAGCGATGCCTTGGGCAATTTTTATGCTTAAACGATATTACAGATAATATATCAGTTAAAAGTATGAATAATTGATTTTATTAAAACCTTTACTGGTTTTCATTGCACGTGCCGCATGTTTAAAATTCAACAAATTACTTCTTTTGTTTTTCCCCCAGTATTTATTTTGCATAGAGCGCAACTTACTTGGAATACTCGAAATCGAAAGATCGGCCAAATGGGGTATATTGGTTTTGAAACATTAACTGCCTTACAGCCGCGCATCAGTAAGAGATAAGTTGCGACAATTTATATATTCCACAGATAGATAGATATTATAGATAGAAATAACAAATTTTAGATGAAGATAATAGATAAGCTCCGCTAAAGATCTTTATAACTGGAAATTGTTTAAATCATTATTATTATAAAGGAGTATTAAGCTGTACGTTATGCCCGACTGCAAAGTACTTACTTATTGTTGGTCGAGTTTATTTAAATATGCACATTAATTACGGGCTGACTGAGATAGCAAATGAAAGAACATACAGTAAACTGTTGTATGCACCTACAAATTGTTTTTATATTGCGACCCCGTGTGTGAGTGTATCTTTATGTGTGTGTGTGATTTAATTATTGCAAATTAATTACATTGATTATTTGGGCATTAAGTGGCTGTCATTTCTGCGGCACTTGCGGCAAATTACGGCATGCGGTGCGCATCAATCTATCTGCCATAGGGCATACATGTAGGTGAATGTGTGTATGTGTGTGTGTGGGTGTGCGGGTGTGTATGGGTATATGATTGCTGTTGAATACCATTAATTGGCAGCTTGATTTACGATATATTGACCCGCCCTCTCTGTTTAACTTGGCTTAGTGTAATTGTAGTTTCACTTTTTATTGAGCTCGCTTCATTTTCTTCGTTTTCTTATTTAACTAACGATACTTAATTAAGGCTTTAAGTAGCAGCACTTAAGTGGCCGAAGTTAATTGAATTTACGGCCATTTATTGTGTTATTTTTCAAGTCCAGCTAATAGAGCGCACCTGACTCAGACTCAGCCTTAAATTGTAGAACTTTTGTGGTGCTTGGCGCAATTTGCCACGAATTTCTACTTCAGCTAAAGTAAAGAATTGTCGAAAAAGTAATAAACCTAAAATAACGACTATGTGCAAAAACAACAAGAAAATGCAAACAAAAATCACTAAACAAATTATAAAAGATACTTAAAAGATATATTCAAACTTAAAAGCTAAAGAAACCGCAAAGAACGCCAAACATAAGCTATAATAGAACTCTTCATATTCCACTGAAGCTATATACAATGTACACACATACATGCATAGATAACTGGGCTCATAATCATATTTATCTTCAAACAATTGCGCCGTGTTTCTTGCACGTGTTCGAGTTCAGGTTCAGGGCTTCGGACAACGATTAGCGGGGAGACTATCTGGGAGTTACAGTTCGTGTTTTCCGCAAAAAGTTCACGTTCTGCGGCCGCTGAGAAAAGAACAAACAAAAAAAAAATTGTAAGTAAATCAAAAATAAACGCGAAAGAAAATAACGCCAAAGCAACGACAACAATAAACGAAACACCGAAACAGAGGCAGCGGCAGCGGCTGCGGCAGCGGCGGAGGCAGAGGCAAAAGCGTATGACGGTAAATGAAATAAAAGCAAAAACAGGTAATAAAATATAAAAGCTGACCGTGAGCAATGTCAGGGGCTCATGGCGCTTAGACGCCGTGCATTTGTTGTTGCCTTTGAATGTATGTATGTATATGGCCTGGGAACGCTGGTAAGTGTGACCAGACCAAAGGTGCAAAACCGTTGAACGAACGCTCGGCCATTGTTTAACCATACAAATTTATGCATTGTCAGCAGACGGCAGACAGACAGAGACAGCAACAGAAATAGCAAGAGCAAACGAAACAACAGCAGCCGGTTCAGCCAAATTCAATTTTACGCTTCATGCCGCTTTGTTATTTGGTTTCTAGTTCAAGTTTGGGGTCAATAACTGTCGATTGCATTTTAACTAAGTTGGTCGGACAGTTGCTGCTGCTGCTGCTGCTGCTGCGGCTACTGTTGATTTACAATTTGTTAAATTGGCAAACAAACAGTTTTCGAAAATACATAAAAAAACAAACGTGCGAAATGCAGACCTAAACGCACAGCGAAACTTAGTTACCCTTTTGCCAGTTACACAAACAGACTAAGTGCAGATAACATTTCGTGCACATTTCTGTATTTGTATTTTAACTTGTATGAGTCACACTTTAGTATTTTCTACACAGTATGTTTCGTTGCCATTTCCCTATTTGTATTTAGTACATTAATTAGTACGTTTTTAAAAAGGTTTTTTGAAATCATTTTGAGCCTTTGTTTCTACCAACAATCTTAAAG